TAGCCGTGATGTATTTAAGTAATATCAGCACCCGTACAGCCTCTTTACCCTTTGTGTATTACTCCGCCCACATGTAGCCAACAAAAAGCAGACACTACAGATCTAAAGTTTAAAAGATGCTTGCTCAGCTGTTCTAACTGTCAGCTTATGATTTGAATCCAGCGTGGAAGAAAGTAGTTCCTCATACAAAAGAGTTTTTGAGACTCCATGTTTGATTTTGTTTTTATATACACAATTATGCCGTCAAACTGTTGTATAAATGCAATATCACACTCGTAGCAGTGCGATATGGCTGTATATCGGCACTGGTGGGGGCACAAGGCCGCCTTCCACCAATGCCAATAAACAGCCATATCGCACTGCTACTCGTGTGATATTGCTCATATAAGATATTTTCTTATTCACTGAAGTTCTCCATTTTTCACTCTAGAAAGATTATTCAAAACCGTCAGCATGAACAAGAGATTATTCCTCGTTCCACAAGGTAAGCAAATAAATCATGCAACATTAATACACACATGAGCCTTTCCACTGCACACAACAGAAGACAGACTAATGGTTATTCACACTGAAATAAACTCCAGTATTTCTGCTCTCATACACATGAGACTCATGGACACTTGCTCATAGCAGAAGTTCCTCAAAAGTGTCAATATACAGTTTGGCTGTTTCTCAATTCCTCGGAAGAAAGAACTCGGGAGACCGCGAGGGCAGAGAACGCGTCCTTTGAGAATTGACATGCTGCGTTCTTCCTGATGGTCACATGACCTTCACGTGTTTTAAATGGTAAATTATTTAAACATTACAGCCTTCATACAACGATTTATTGTTTTTCCGCTTTTCAAAATATATACTTTGCATAAAACATTATAAATATATGTTGCACACTATAAATAAAACAGATTTTAATACGAATTTCAGCAAACAAACACCCTTAATGTGTTTATTCCTTTATTAAGATGTTCATGGTAATGTTTACTTTCACCGTTTCATTTAGGGAAACTCCTGAGGTAAATAATTAATATCTCTGAACTTTAATAATAAATCTAGATAAAATGCTGCGCTTCCCACCTCCAGTCGCAATGACTTCTTGGACTTCCAGAGCGAGTTCGGTGCTCAAGTCTGCATCGGTGCATCCTCGATATCAAGAACACATCCGGGAAGTTTCACGCGTCCTCCGTACTTGCGGTCTTGAGTATTAGAACTGAACTTAGGCAGCTGATGATGACGTTGCACGAGGACACAAGACCACTGAAGAACGCATATTGAGAAACAGCCTTGAAGTTAGAATTATTAGCCCCCCTTTGAATTGGTTTCTTTTTAAAATATTTCCCAAATGATGTATAACAGAGCAAGGAAATTGTCACCGTATGTCTGATAATATTTAAAAAAAAAAAAAAAAACATTTTATCAAAATTATTAGCCTCTTTAAGCTATAATTTTTTTCGATAGTCTACAGAACAAACCATCATTACTCAATAACTTGCCTAAATACCCTAACCTGCCTAATTACCCTAGTTAGACCTTTAAATGTCACTTTAAGCTGTATAGAAGTGTCTTGAAAAATGTCTAGTAAATTATTATTTACTGTCGTCATGGCGAAGATGAAATAAATCAGTAATTAGAAATGAGTTATTAAAACTGTTTAGAAATGTGTTGAAAAAAATCTGCTCTCCGTTAAACGTGAAATTGGGGGAAAAAAATAAACGGGTGGGCTAATAATTCTTCAAATGTAGCCAATATTTAATATTAGCAAAGAACATCAAATATTTTTAAATGCGAGTCTATTTTTAAATAGTGCATTTTATTTAATAATTATCATATTTAATGATTATCGTATTCAGTTTTTTTTTTGTTTGTTGCTGTTGATATTTGTTGGAATATCAAACCAATTCCATGTGTGTTCAAGAGAAAAGGTCTGGAGAGGTTTGTCTTCAATGTCAAAAATCGTAACAATTTATTGGATACAAATGAATATTTCGATGACAGAGCTCTGGGTTACGTTACGCCAATGCAATACAAGAATTACATTCAAGAGGTTCGCAACCAACATACATTTCCTGACTCCAGCATATATACACCACCGATCTTAACATGTGGAGTTTTGGTGTAACGTCACTTGTCAGTCATTGTTCAGTCCTCCATTGGCCACACCTTCGGCATACTTCCTCTTTTTCTATGAATTCTCTGCCCAACAACAAAGTATACATCTTTCTGTGTTCTGTGTTCAGTTTTAACACCTTTCTTCAGACAGGAAGTTTTTGCAGAGCTGAATTTAATTTTGGACCCGCATCTATCTACTTCTGCAAAAATGCTAATTAGTATGCACAGCACTCACACACAACAGTAGGAGTTTAGTTAATATATGACCCTTAAATGACCAATACAAATAATTGTTTGATTAAAAGAAAAAGAGACAAAATAATAAAAAAACTGATTGCTATTTTACAACACATTCTTATATTGTTATACAGTGTTAATATAATTGTGTGTGTGTGTGTGTGTGTGTGTGTGTGTGTGTGTGTGTGTGTGTGTGTGTGTGTGTGTGTGTGTGTGTGTGTGTGTATATATATATATATATATATATATATATATATACACTAGTGGGGGGCCGTTATCGGCGTTAACTCAAGACGTTATTGCACAATAAAAAAAAATATTGCAATCTTGGGTTGGGAGCTGGGTCTATTCTACACAAGCTATGATGACCTTCCATGATGTTTTAGCGCGGATGTATACCTGACTGGTAGTGAGCCGTCAGACAAAAAAAAGTGCCCTTCTGAATCAAATCAGCAGGATGCCCTTCTGGATCTTTCACTTACTTCGAAGACACGACTGACTACGCTTGCATGGACATCTGTGATCCAGTTATTGTCCTTAATAGACAATAATATAATTGAGTTTAAATGCAAGGCAAGTTTATTTATACAGCACATTTCATACACCGTGGCAATTCAAAGTGCTTTACATAAACGGGAGTAAAAAAGACAAGTTTAGAAACCTAAAATGCAGACAATAAAAATTATTAAAATGAGTTAAAAACAAATTAAAATGAGTTAAAATAGGTTATAAAAGAATGGAAAAAGAAAACGAAAAACATGATAGTGCAATCTGTCGGACGCAGCACAGTGCTCATTCAGTAAAGGCACAGCTAAACGGATGTGTTTTCAGTCTTGATTTGAATGTGCCTAATGTTGGAGCACATCTGATCATTTCTGGAAGCTGATCCCAGCAGTGAGGGGCATAGTGGCTAAAAGCCGATTCACCCTGCTTTGACTGAACTCTTGGAATTTCTAGTTTTATATGATCCTAATGATCTGAGTGATCTGTTGGGTTTGTATTCAGTGAGCATATCTGTAATGTATTGAGCTCCTAGGCCATTTAGTGATTTATAGACCAGTAATAATACTTTAAAATCTATTCTGAATGTAACTGGCAGCCAGTGTAGAGACCTGAGGACTGGTGTGATGTGCTCTGATTTCCTGGTTCTGGTCAGAATCCTGGCTGCAGCATTCTGGATGAGCTGCAAGTGTCTGACTGTCTTTTTGGGAAGGCCAGTGAGGAGGCTGTTACAGTAATCCACCCTGCTGCTGATAAAAGCATGAACAAGTTTCTCTAAATCTTCACTGGAAACAAAGCATCTGATTCTTGCTATGTTTTTGAGATGATAGTATGTTGATTTACTAACTGCTTTGACATTACTGTTGAAACTCAGATCTGACTCCAGAGTCACACCAAGATTCTTGACCTTTTTTTTGTTGTTGTTTGACCCTTAAAGCCAAGGTGCGCATTCACCTTGAGAACCTCATCTCTGTTCCCAAACGCAATTACTTCAGTTTTCTCTTTGTTTAATTGAATGCAAGAATTTCCTGTAATTTTGGGTGACCAACTGCAGTTCTGCAGTTTTAACTTTACTCATAAACATTTCATTCATGCCCCCGTGACAAACTGGAATATTAGACGTAAATTAGGAGTAAGGACTGGTGAAAGTGTTATGGAATTTATTAACGCTTGCCGAATGGAAAGAAAAAAACTTCTGTATTTCACGAAAAATCATGGTTTGGGGTTACATTCAGTAAGAGGATATGCGTTAGATTGGCCAACCCATTCGCCAGAGATGAACATTATTGAGCATGTCTGGGGTAAGATGAAGGAGGAGGCGTTGAAGATGAATCCAAAGAATCTTGATGAACTCCGGGAGTCCTGCAAGAACGCTTTCTTTGCCTTTCTCATATAT